TTTCTAATCTATTTTTGGTTAATTCTAAGCTATTAAGGTCTTATTCGAGACTTATGGTCGCACCAGATGAGTTAATATGGTGTTGGTTAACTCATATAGTTATTTCGGATAGGGTACACCGTCTGCTCGTCACGCTATCTTATTTTCGGCCGGATAGATTCGTGCAACTTCTTAGTCTAATACTGATCCTAATCTTACTCTTATACTTTCTAGTCTCAGGGTGTTTAACTAGTCTCTGCTAGGCTCAATAGATCTAGGGTATACTGGTTTGTTGCGGCTGCTGAAGTTCTCTTGGAGAGACAACTAATTTCTAAGTTAAATTCAAATCTCTCTGGTGCTGAAATTACAAGTAAAATCAGCACTTACAAATAAGTGGGTTGTTAGTTAGATTGATTATGATTGGTTAATATTAAATACTTTACAGTGGTAAAATATCCAAGGTATTGTTTTCCTGAGCTCAAATTTGAAAAGATAATTCACCTGTTATCATTTTTCGTAAAGTTATAGGGGTTTAAAGATTGCCAGTTTGGCAAATTTGGGACAATTAACGCGCGATATATTTCGCATTATTAACGCGTAAGCGGAGAGTTAATCCGTCTTAGAAATCGTTCCAAATTGGTTTAACGGAGCTTTTTTGTCATAATTGATTTGTAACAAGTAGCAAATCTATCTATCCTTTTGTACTTAATATGAAGTGTGTGGGGATGATTTTTATGAGGAAAAATTCAAATTAAAAGCAAAATTTCATTTTGTTTTATTTCTTTTAATTTTTTAATGTAATTACTGCTCCATAAACCTTAATAGGTAGTTGGAACATTCAGGGCTTCGCCCTGATACGAGCAGTCTTGTTTCATTTTTCAGACTCGATAATCTTGTTAGACTTCTTACCAGATTTCATAGTTTTCAGCGTTGAAAAAACAGGAACTGAAAACTTCAACCAGACTAGTCGTATCATGGCAATAACTCGGTTGAGCTGACTGTCGCTTAAGATTTCTGGAAAAAACAATAGGTGCAAATTTTGATGACTTTTCATAATTTTCCTTTAAGAAATGTATAACATTACTTTTGAAAATCTACCCTGACTAATTAATAATTTCAAAACAATTGATTGGCATTCGCAAGCAGTTATTCGCAAAATATTGTGCGCCTTCATTCTATTTAGATGTATGCATTTGTCGTTTAATCGATATAGGAAGGCAACACAATGCGCGTTGATTGACCTTACTTGTCCAAATTTGGAATTTTTAAATAGCAAGACAATTGAAAAAAAAAATTGAAACATCTTATAGCTTTGAGCTCAGGGCAACAATTTCTTTCATGTTATAGAAAAAAGTTAATCAAAAAATGCAGCAAGAAACAAAGTTTGTCCAGATAAAAAAAATCGCCGCATACATAGTCATGCCTTGTTTCAAAGCCGGACTTATAATTTGAAAAAAAACTGGCGTAATAGTTCTGCTGTGGGTGATTTTTTCTTCAGTCTAATAACTTGCCATTTTGACGGGATTTTTAAAATTTTATCATCTTATCAACCAATCAAATAGATATCATGATATTGAAGCCGTAAGCTTAAAATTAAAATAAAATTTCATCCGATATCATTGTTCCAAAAATAAATTTTTGTTTTGTCCTGATTGAGTTAGGACCGATGTGGTTAACTCATAGAGTTATTTCGGATAGGGTACACCGTCTGCTCGTCACGCTATCTTATTTTCGGCCGGATAGATTCGTGCAACTTCTTAGTCTAATACTGATCCTAATCTTACTCTTATACTTTCTAGTCTCAGGGTGTTTAACTAGTCTCTGCTAGGCTCAAAAGATCTAGGGTATACTGGTTTGTTGCGGCTGCTGAAGTTCTCTTGGAGAGACAACTAATTTCTAAGTTAAATTCAAATCTCTCTGGTGCTGAAATTACAAGTAAAATCAGCACTTACAAATAAGTGGGTTGTTAGTTAGATTGATTATGATTGGTTAATATTAAATACTTTACAGTGGTAAAATATCCAAGGTATTGTTTTCCTGAGCTCAAATTTGAAAAGATAATTCACCTGTTATCATTTTTCGTAAAGTTATAGGGGTTTAAAGATTGCCAGTTTGGCAAATTTGGGACAATTAACGCGCGATATATTTCGCATTATTAACGCGTAAGCGGAGAGTTAATCCGTCTTAGAAATCGTTCCAAATTGGTTTAACGGAGCTTTTTTGTCATAATTGATTTGTAACAAGTAGCAAATCTATCTATCCTTTTGTACTTAATATGAAGTGTGTGGGGATGATTTTTATGAGGAAAAATTCAAATTAAAAGCAAAATTTCATTTTGTTTTATTTCTTTTAATTTTTTAATGTAATTACTGCTCCATAAACCTTAATAGGTAGTTGGAACATTCAGGGCTTCGCCCTGATACGAGCAGTCTTGTTTCATTTTTCAGACTCGATATAGAAATTTATATGTGTATTGACTCAGTTGTGAGTGGAACAATTTGAGACGGTATATACCTCCCTTTGTATTTAAAATTTTGTGTGGGTGGTAGACGGAAGGAAGCCAAAAATCAAATGAAAAAAAAAAAACATTTTTTTTTCCCAAAACTATTTAATCGATTGTTTTGAACTGAAAAAGTTTTCTTTGCTTTTACAAGGCGGTCGTGGTAAAAATTAGGATATGGCTCTTTTCTAAGAGCGTTATTTTTAAGTCTTGGATCTGTTTAATCAAACCAAACAACCAAACAATATATTAGATAGCAAAATAGGTGGCTGAACTTTACTGCACAGTTATAACTAAAGGTAATTACAAGAAACAAAAAAACTTGGGCACCAAAATGAAATAAAGTATAGTAAAGCAAGAATATGTATGCCACAGTGTAATTTGTAAAAAATATTCTCAATTCTATGAACTAGACAAAAGTTTTCAAACATTGAAGACAATTTTTTAAAAATTTTTTGTTTTTGGATGATTTTTTCGTAGTAGGCAGGGGCGGATTTAAGGGGATGGGGGAACCCATCTCCTCCTCAGGGATTCGACACACTAACTAAAGGTTCCGCTTTGATAAAATTTTTTGAAATCAATTTTAGGCCGACCAACCTTAAAAAGTTTCTAGAGGCGCTAATATATACCAATTTTGGAGGGAGCGCGCGCCAAAAAACGCAATTTTTGCCCCTACTTTTCCAAAAAGAAGATGGCCGAAAAACGACAAATTTTACCTAGTTTTTTTATAAATTTCGCCTGTAATTTGGGGTCTTTATGGCGTTCTGTGAGTGCTCGAAAAATCAATTTGGTCGACATAAAAAAAAGTTCGGCAACATATTAAAAAAGTATCTAAAGATCCTCTTTTCCAATCCAGAAAATTTTAGATCCGCCCCTGCTAGTATGGCAAAGGCAGTTGAGTTAGGATCAAATTTTCCTCTATTTATTTTCAGCTCGCTGCTGATTTTTTTTGTAATTGATTTTGGCAAAAACTGCAAGAATGAGATGTCATTATACCAAGAGTGGTGGTGTCAAAATTTGGATAAGAATTAGATTGATATCAAATTCAGTATCATCAAAATGGTCTCAAAATAAAAAGAAGGCTTTAATATGATACCGTTTTCAAGGTATTTTAAATGCATTGAAAAAATACACCCTATGCAATAGTTTTTTCCCACTTAGTAAAGGGGTCGGAACACAAATCAATTAGAATGGGTTTCAGAAGATTGTATCTTTTACGATTGTATCTTTTAGGCACAAAATTTTTTTAGCCAAATAATTTGACAAACAAAAAAACTGTCTAGTTTTTCTTCCCTTATTGTCTATTATTTTCAATTAGAGTATTAATTATAAACCATGTGATATTATTCTGCATCAATTTCAAATGGTAAATTAATTAATTTAGCAGGTATTTTTTGTTTTTTTTTCTCTGGAGAAGGTTGTTGTTTTGAATAAATTGAATATGGTTTGCCTATCAGTAATCGAACTTTGAAAATAATCTTTGCAGCAACACTTTAGATGGAAATACCCGCGAGGAGAAAACACTTAGCAAATTGGAACACGATCGACCCCTTGGCTCTTGCATAAATTTGAAGAGCAAACAGTTGTTGGGGCTGAACTGTCTTCAGTTAGTTTCTACCAATGGGAGAAACAGACGTAAATAATAATGAAAATAATGGTAATTCAGCCAACCGTGTGCATTTCCATTATTACAGGGAGAGGTGCGTCTTAATTTTGGTCATTTCGGATCCAATCAAGCCGACCTGTTCTCTTTTTGCTTCTTCAGAAAAAGAATAATTAAATTATTTTTCAGCATTTGTATTCAATTTGCATTTCTAATTTGACACACCAAGCTGAATTTATTAATTATGCTAATTATTGTCTAACTTTCGATTTGACTGAATGACGCCACCTTGTTTTGAACTGATATTTTGCTAACTTTTGATCAGATCAAGATGGCAATGGCGTCTTTTTTACCTCTTTGATTTATAGCGCAATTTAACTGAGAATTGAGCTGCGAGAAAATTATAAGTTCAATTTTGTTTTTGAAAAAATTTATCCTTTAATTTTTTTTACTTGTGGCGTCAACAGCAGTTTGATTAATTTAGCCTTTGAAATTTGGAAATTAAATAAATTAACATTTCAGTGATATTAATCCTTCTTTCATAATTTACAAAGTCACACTTCTGCATAGCTGAAAAAATGTTCTTCTATTTTTCTTTGAAACTTTGTATCATTTTCAGTTTTCGGAACATTTTTTTCTCCTGGAAGAATTAATTGATTGATTACATCTTATTCCTTGATTACATCTTCGTTGCTTATATTTTCTCTATTATTTTCAACAATTGCTGTCTAGAGCTTTGTTTGCTGCTCCTGGGTTTACTATTTCAGTATTTTGTTTCCGCCGCTTTTCAGAAATCATCCGTTACGTTTTCAATTGATTGTTTCTTGTTGCGACTGAAATGTTTCTTGGAAACAACAGAACTGACAGCGGGGGGGTCTTTTTGGAAGTGGGCGCAGATGGAGGCGGGGAAGAAGGGGGAAGGAGTGACAATGCTACTTGGAGTCACCCAGCGTGCGAATACATATTTGCCCAGTTTTCAGATGCTGCCCAAAACAACACCATCACATCTCCACTCTTAGTCGGAAGGTTAGACTAAACAACCAACACAAAAAAGCTTTTAAACATTCCCCCTCTTCTTACTGCAAATCGGGGGAATTTGTTTCTGTAGTCGATTTTGATGAATATGAACAACTTCTAGATTCCCGCATTGACAAAAACGCATGCCATAAAACGCATGTATGGCTAGTTTTCTGTAACTTCTAAAAACGTACATATTTTTTGAGCTTCGGACCAAGTTAACATCCTCCCCCCCCCCCCCCCCCAAAAAAAGCCGCTGAATGACGGGGGAGGGAGTATGTTAACTTGGTTCTAAGTTGGGATTTTTCAGCCAATCAGAATCAAAATCGAGCATTGCATGTTACATGCAGCACTAAGCAAATTTAATTTAAACTGAGCGCTGGGGTGGAGGATTTTAACTTGGTCTATTTGGGGGTGATGTTAACTTGATCCTAAGTTTCTGCTTTTTTGTTTTATTTTTGTTTCGACTTTCGATACGAAAGTAACGGAATATTTGTGCTCGGGGTGGGTTTTTTTTTCTTCAGACAAATTTCGACTTTTTAACTTGCCATTTTTGACAGAATTTTTTTTATCATTCAAAAGGTATTGTTATCCTGAGCTTGAATTTGAAAAGATATTTCACCTGTGATCATTTTTCGTAAAGTTATGAGGGTTTAAAGGTTGCCATTTTGGCCAATTTGGGATAATTAACGGGCGATATAATTCGCGATATTAACGCGTAAGCGGAGATTTAATCCGTCTTAGAAATCGTTCCAAATAGGTTGAACGAAGCTTATTTGCCATAATTGATTTGTTACAAGGAACTAAAACTATCCTTTTGTACTTAAATGGCGTGTGGGATGGGGGATGATTTTCATAAAAAATCTTCAAATTTTAGAAAAAAAAATTCATTTTATTTTATTTCATTTTATTTTTTTCATGTTATTACTGCTCCATAAACCTTAAAAGGCAATCGGAACATTCAGGGCTTCGCCCTGATACGAGCAGTCTTGTTCTGGCTTTATGTTAGTTTTTTGTTTACTAACACCTGAAGGTTAACAACACAAAAAACATAAACTTCATTTTAAGTCTTCCAAAAAAATCGCATTTTAAGAATGCGTAACGAGCGAATGGTTTTTGTATCCAGGACTTGTTTGACTAATTCTTAAAAACCATTTTAAAATTTTTGAGGGAATTTTGTCGCTGCAAAACTGCATTTTTGTTTTGATGCTTTTGTAAGTGAAAAAGTAAAAACTTGATAGAAAACGATGTTGAAATTCAACGCTGTTGCTATCGATAGAAACGATATTCTAGCAATCCTTGTTTTAAGATGCTTAGGCAGGACTTAGGTTTAAACAAACAAAAAACAAAAAAGAAACTTTAAAAAACAAACTTTTTTTGACTTTTTGTATAACAAATTTTAAAAATTTTTATCGCTAAATGAAGCTTCCAACGCCAGTTTTATTTTTAGTAAAGTCATTTTTTTGCCTAGATAACGAATATTACTCACTCGATATATGTTTAAAATAATTCAAACATTTCAAATCAGTTTTTTTCTTCATTGGAACATCATATTGAAAAGTTATAAGTAGTATCACAATTACAAAGGCTTTAATATGATATATCATTCAACCAATTCCGATTACTAATTGTGGTTCCTGATTTTGTGTGGAAAAAATGAAACAATGGTCGGAACAATATTGCACTAATGATGCTCGTTCTTGCTTGTTGGAAGCGATAACAAATTCAGTTTTTTGTCATATTTGGGTCTCCATAACAAAATGAAAAGTTCTGATTTTGTTGCAGGGGCTTAAGAAGTCTGAGGCCAGGGGCGGCCTTGTTTAAGGAGCATGACGGGTTTGAAGCAATTGAATGAAATATTCAGTGCCGCGCATTCATTCGAGCAGTTTTGTACTCTGGATTTGTCTCTAATATAAATACAAGACTGCTGGTATCAGGGCGAATTCTGACATGTTCTGACTGCCGTCTCACATATAGAGTAGTTTCTTGGCAAAATAAAAATGAAATTTTTGATTAGATTCATCCAATCCCGCGTGAAAAATCAAAACATTCATAAATTTGGCGTCAATAACGCAAACTTCGATCATTAAGAGCCTCAACTTCAACTGGTTGGGGTTCTGAGCCAGATTAATACGCAGCCGATGCTGCGCGTTAAAAGAAACTAATAAGCCAAATTAATAAACCTAACTTAATCAAAGTGTCAATTTTCAAACCTTCTTAACTTTACCAAATTTTTCGCATATGAGTTTTTTTTTTAAATCCTTTGTATCCAAATCCTTTGGACGATAAATCAGCCCGCGATGGCCATGATCCCGGAAGACGGAACAATAATTACGAATAAAATTTAATCAAGCTGTGTGATCTATCATGAGTACCAGCTGAGCACTCTTTTTTCTGCATAACTTTTCATAAAGACTTTTTGAGATAATTTGCCTCAAACAAATTGGTGTTGCACAATATAAATACTTGATGGTATAAATATTATGGTGTTAAAAACAATTTAGTAATGAATACTTTGTGGTAGAAAAACCAAATAACAAAATATTTTAATTGCTATAATATCAAAAATAAATATTCAAACATCTGAAAGAAAGCGAGTCAATTTAGCCATAAATTTGGATAACTTGGATTTACTAAAATTGTCTGCTATTTGGACTTTCGGTCATAAGACTAGCCCATATAAAGAGATGTTTGTTGTGTGTGTAGGTATCTGGAGAAAGGACTGATTGGGTGTGCAGACGTCGTGTCCATAGTGGGCAATGTGCTGGTCATAGTGACCATATGCTTCAACATGCGACTGAGGCGCACAGTGGCTAGTCTCCTTCTGCTTAGTCTCTCGTCGGCCAATCTCCTCTTCTCTCTCGTTGTCGTCCCTGTGCACATTCTCCAGCCACAGTTCATGCATTCCACTAACTTCGCATGCAAATTCTTCCGCGCCCTACAAAGTCAGTATCACCATTTTGTTCAAAAAAAAAATAACTTGAGACAGCTTAAAAACATTTTTTAGAGCAAACAGTTTTTTGTTTTATAAGTTTTTATATTTTTCAGGCATTTAGAACTGTTTCAAATTATTTTTGAATGATTGAGGTTATTTTCAAGATGAGCTACCGTGACTTTTTCAAAAAATTTCTTTTATCGTTTTTTGATTTTTTTTCATACACCATTTTAATTTAAATCTTAAATGAAACAAGAATTGCCAGTTGCTCTAAAATGATTTGAATAAAATTACAATAGAAAATAATCAGAAGAAAAAGCAAAAATAAAATCTTTTTTTTTTGTTCTCAATTGATCCTCCCTGATTAGAATACCAGCAAAATATTGTCCCATGACTGAAAATTAGTCCAAATTAGTCCATTAGTCCACTGAAAATTAGTCCATTATTACTGAAAATTAGTCCATAGATCGTTAATTGCAGTTTCAGAAGAATAGTTGATACCCTATTTTTTCCTATTTTTTCCTATTCAATTAGAAGTAGCCCTGAAAGCGTCCTGAAAACCTATAAATGCACCCAAAAATAACCATAAAGTAGGGAATTCTGATTAAGTAAATTGGTTTGAAGGCAATGGTTTAATTATTGAAGCAATTTAAGCTAAACTTCTAATTATCATGTAGAGAAAACTAATTTGTAGTTTCATATCGGTTTTCATATAAAAGTAATAGATCGTAATATACTTTTTTGCTGATGAGTGTAATTTGAGTAGCCATAAATTACACTTCCTTTTTCAGCAATTGCTTTCTAATACAATACTTACTTCTTAATTTTTTAATATGCACGGCGACCCATGAACATCTCCCACTACACATCATATGGCCCTTTAATTTTATATAAAGTGTTTTTTCGATCATGCAAGCTAATTGGTCAAATCAGGGGCGGATTTAGGGGGGGGGGGGGGGGGCGGACGCCCCCCCCCCCCTCTCAGGGATTCGACCCCCTGCCGACCCAAAGGGTCCCCCTTTGATACTTTTTCAGAAATCCATTTTTGGCCGACCGACCCTAAAATTTTTCTAAAGGCGCCTTCGGCGCCAATATATACTAACTTTGAGGGGGAGCGCGCGCCAAAAAACGCGATTTTTTTGTCAAAATTTTTCAAAAAGTGCCCAAAAACGGCTTTTTTGACTGTTTTTTCAGAAATTTGCCTGCGGCGCAGAAAATTTAGCTAAAATGGGGGCAAAAAAGTGCTTTGGCAGAGCTCGGAAAATCAATCTGATCGACCTAAAAAAAAAAAAAAAGGTCGTCAAAATTTTCGAAAATTTTTTGAAAATCCGCCCCCCCCTCGAGAAAATCCTAGATCCGCCCCTGGGTCAAATGACTTGAGATGACCCAAATAATAACCAATTTATATTTGTTATTTGCATTCCATAATTTTTATTATATCAAATTTTTTTAGCAAAAAAAAATTTTGAAACCTAAGAGGTAATCGGAACATTCGATGCTTTGTCCTGATATACGATAATTTTCGAAACTGAGCTAAAAATCCGTTTTTAAATATCACTGAATTGCAGTATAGATTGTAATTAAGCAGATAATTTGACAACGATATGGCCGAAAACTTTGCCCGATTTACGGTTTCGGTTTCATCTGATATTATCCAACTGAATATGGCTTTTCCTGTTTCTCTTCAGCCTTTAACTAACCTCATAGCCTGACGGCTCAGGTACTGTTTTGCGGACAAGTTTGCAAGAGATAAAAAAATCTGGCAAAATTAATCAAGATATGGCAAACTAACCCCCGAGCTGCAAGAAGTTAATATGTTGCCCTCTTAGAAGAATTAAAAGCAAAAGAACTATAACTTTGGCCCATGTGGACAACCCCCCCCCCCCCCTCCTTAAGGGACAAAAACAAGCTCTCCCATGAAATTAAATGACAAGTTCATAAGCCGTACCGTATGCATGTATTTTTCTCATATGTGATTGGCTGGAAAGTAATTCTTTTGTCGAAAAGTACTCTGCCCCTTAATCAGTTTAGGGGAAAATTTGTTCACATGGTGCAAAAGTTTACACTGTATTTCAATCACCTGCAATATGCTGAAAACTATTTATACCGATATTGAACAAAATTAGCCAGTAAGTTTTTCCTTTTTGTTTAATGTGGGCACTTCGTCTTAAAAAATTTTTGGCTCTTTTTTTGGCGAACATAGGAAATTTCGAACGCTCAAATTTTGAATTAATATAAGACAAAAAATGAACCAAACAAAAGTTGCTTAGATATTCGCCAGACCGAATATGGCGCAATTTTTTTCGGAATTTGCAACCAAAACTTTATTTCAAAAATAAATCATTTTGGCTTTTTAAAGGTAATCAAGAATTACGCTGAAACTACCCAGTTAGAAGGTCAAAACTTTTTTTTTTTAAATAAGCCTCGTACACAGCTCAACAAACTTCTAGAAGAATACACTTTCTAAAATTCTGTATAAGAGAATATATAGTTTTGGTTGAAACGGTTATTTTCAAAAACTGAGAATCAAACACTTCGCTTTTAAACAAGTTTCAAACTTTGTGCGCAAATAGCTTCGGCGAAAACCTTTATTACCCAAAAAGTCCAAAATAAAAAAAAAATTTAGATAAATTTTATTTGTGAATTTCAGAAAAGTTGCACCATATAAATTCGGGTAAACTTTTAAGCAATTTCAGTTTTCTTCACTTTTTGCCTAATTTCAATTTACGCGCATTTTGTCCTAACAATTCAAAATAGCTCTGTATAGTCAAAAACAAAAAAAATCAGAGCTTACAGACACTTTACTTTCAGTTTTCATAAGTGTCAACTAACTACAATCAAGTAATATAGTATTGCAATCGAAGTACAGACATCAAGCTTGGATGCCCAAAAAAAGCTGTAGAACAAATTAAAACTACATATTGATACCTTCAAATATATATATGTTGACTTTGCTTTCAAACCACCTTCCAGAGATTTCAATAAATAAATTCTTAAGCAAAAACTTTCCAAAATTTTGCGACATCCATTTTTTTGATTTTCCGACATTACGAGGTCAAATTTATAAATTTTAAGCGGATTCCGCAGCAAAGGACGCTCCTTTTGGTCTTCTTTTGTTCTTTCGTTTTCTTTAATAGTTCCGACAAAATTTTAACATAATTAAAGACTTGTCTCTGGAATCCAGGAACATACAGACACAAAATTGCGCGCCTATCCAGTGCATAGTTTGGGCTCGTAATGGAGCAAAAACTAGCAAGAAACTCGTCAATTATATAGTTAAGGCAAATGTTGATGATTAAAATACCGATATGGTCAAACTTTATCAACCTTATAAATAAACTTTTTTCTCAGTTATTATATTCACGGTCTCTTCTCACAAATCACAAGCTTCAGCAGTAAGAAAGTTCGGCCTTCAAAAAAAATTTTGAAATTGAACTTAGTCAGGAGCGTCCCGGGTCGAGGTCAGGGACTTATGTTGCGACTATTGCGACTCAAAATTGGTACGCTGCGACCATTGAGACCAAAATCGGGTATGCTTCGACTTTGCGCGACCGAAGAAATCTTATGCGACTTTGCGCGATCCAAAAAAGCTATGTTGCGACCATTGCGACCAAAATTGGGTATGATGCGACTTTGCGCGACCCAAATAAGGTATGTAGCGACCATTGCGATTTAAAATGGGTTTGTTGCGACTTTGTGCGACCGAAACATTTGTGCGACTTTGCGCGACCCAAAACAGATATGTTGCGACTTCCCGGATCGAAGTTTGCGATTTACGTTTCGACCGACTCGACCCAAGCTGTCTATGTTTCTAGGGCGTCTACGTATTTACGGTGAGCAACCCTTCTTCAGTTATTTGAACCTCTGCTCACAAAATGCGGTTCATTTGCTATGCTATACTCTTTCGCGACATCCCTTTTTGATCGACGAACGCTTCAGTTTCCTCGACATGTCATCGCGGCCAAGACTTTAAAATTAAGGGGGAAGCGCGCGCCGAAAAGTGCGGTGACGATAATTTTGAAACCATGAAGTCTTTATAAATTTTCGAGAAGTCTTGTAAAATCAACTTGATTGACATAAAAGTTTTAAATTGCTTCTATCGAGAAAATTCTAGATCCCACTTTGGTATGAGACAGACTATTTAATGAAACTAGGCGTTTTAAGCTTCGAATAACATCTTTAATTACGTGAATTTTTTTTTTTAAATCTCGTCAACTTTTTCAGAAAGTTTTTAATAAACAGCCAATATAGTTGAGGCTGAAGGAACAAAAAGTCACCGTCTTTTCATTAATTGTGTATTATTAACCTGCATTTTTGCAAGATATTTTTTGAGGGTTTTTATAATAATGTAATGTAAGAACGCGTTTCCGTGTTCTTAAATGTCAGATTAACCTACACTCCATCTCTGCTTTCTGATTCACTAACCATGACATTTTATTCCTTGTTACTCAATTTGACTGACTCACTTTGTTTAAACGCCCCCTGAAAACCTTTGCGGCTTCCTTATCAAGCCACTGAATTGCGTTGACAACTATTAACTGGTTTGAAGTTGTTACTTGATTAATTTAAGCTACTTTAACTACAAAATATTTTTGTGACTGGTATTTGTTTTCTTTTTCATAAAAGTTCATAAAAGGCTTGAAAACATGGGAACATAATTTGTTCAAAGCATGTTTTTATCGCGTTTTTTCCAAGCTATACCGACGTCCAATGCAAGTGAATTACTAAAAAATTGATTTTAAAAAAATTGGCAAGCTCGAATCAGAACTCAGGAAACACCATCAAAGTCTTTTTTCGACAGAAAAAAAAAATAATGATGTCAAAACTTTAGTGAAAGGAAAAACCTTTTGTTCCATGTTTAAGGTTCCTTTTTTCTAATTCCATAATTATGATTTTTTTCAACTTCAACAGTCGTACATGAAACTACTTTTGATACGCATTAATTAACTTAAAATTTCATGCGTTTTTTTCTTAGTCTTTTAAGCATAACGCGAACGCAGTGTGCCAAAC